CACACACACACACACACACACACACACACAAACTCTTCTAAAATAGAATGTTCACATTCTGAAGTACTAGTTTCAGAAATGGTTTAAAAAACATACACTTGTAAATTTTGTGACTTCCAAGAACTTTTCTTTATTTTCAATCAAAGCAAGACAATCAAAGAAAAAATGTATTTCATGATTCCAAAATAACTTCACTCATTAATTTTTCATGCAAGATTTGTGAGCAATTTCAACAATCCGTATCGTCTGAGATTGTGAGTGATGAGTGATAAAGAGAAAGTATGTTTCAGTGATGTAGGAGTGAGAGAATCTGTCCTTCCTAATTCATGAACAAGTCTCCAGCGTACTAAAAAGGCAACAGTCAAGCAGGCACTTTCAGCGAAGGACTACCATTGTACTATTGTATAACTTTGTAGTGGGACTTGAGTTTTGACAAGGAATCTCTATGATTACTTATGGACATTCAACCTTTTCCTCGGAAAAGTCAAATGTATACTTCGCTTTTGCGAAAAAAAATCCAGCCTTGCTCGTTATGTGTTATGTATCATCAGTACATCTGTGTAATATATGTAGGCCTACCTGGATTTTTTTTTTTTACAACAGGTTTTAGGCTAAGAATGCAAATGTTTTAGTTTTGGTTCCATCAACGTATTTCAGAAAACTGCAACCAAAGACCATAATGAAATGAAATCTTTTCTGAGTTTTCCTGGAGACAAAATTAGCGGCTGTGGTGAGCTCTTGTGACAACCCGATGGTTTTGATCTCTAGAGGAATACGTGTATAATTTTTTTCTCACGACTCTCAGGGAGAGACTACATGAGAGCAGGAAGGGAGAGACTACATGAGAGCAGGAAGGGAGAGACTACATGAGAGCAGGAAGGGAGAGCTGGGGGGATGTCAAAGAGAAAAAGCTGACATCATGCATGCAAACCAGTGACATCATTAGTCGCACGAGAAATGAAATCAAAACTGATTGATGAAATCTGTGCTCCGATAAATATACACTAGTATAATATATCTAGTGATGTTTAGAACTGACCTCGCATAAACTGACATTTTGCCTAAAAATGAGAGAAGGCCGGAAATTCACTTCAAACAATGGCATGATAAATATTCTATATATACATGTATAAAACATCAATGGCTGTACAGCTGATTTGTGCATCAGAGATTTTGTACCACAAGCGTTAGAATGACAAGTGAACTAACTGATCAAAATATTATTACAAAAGAGCCATTATAAACTTCTCTACAGACTAGTGCTGGATATTTTTAACATACCGGTATATAATTTTCTGCTATTTTTACACGAAAACAAACTTTTTTTTTCTTCTTCAACGCATGAAGTATACTACTAGACTACAGAGTACAGGGTTATTGTGTCTTCAGTCAAAAATCTTCTACTTACAAATAATAGCCCGTAGCCACGTACATTTACATGCATAATATTATAATCATTATACTCTGAAAAATATACTCTTTTTTTAATCTTCTCACCATTTCATCAGATGCTGAGAAACGATGTTGCTGATCTTTTTGTCTGTACAAGAGAAATAGGACGGAAGTATTTTGCATAAAACTTTTCACCTCCAAATCTACGAGACGGAATTTGTTAAATTTTACAATAAGAATATGATATCGCATTCAAATTTAAATACATAGAAGAATTTAAAAAGTGCAGTGTCCATAGAAGATTGTACGGCAGATAAAATTAAACTTCTGACAATGCCAGTAACAAGTAACAATAACTTCTACAGTGACCATATGTACAATATTGTAGAGGAAAATAATCAGTTGTGTTTGTGGTAGATGAAATAAACGTGTAAAATTAATACTGTTACGCCCGAGACAGGCTTTTACTTGACAATACGGGGACACAACACAGGTCAACCACGTGTGCCCTAAGCTGACAAAACATCTTTTTTAAAATTTCGGCGCCAAAATGTTTTATTTGCTAAATCGAAAGTCTGATCAGTTACCCTACTTGTGTGAAAAAATCCAAGTGAAACTGTGACTAATTTTTGAATGAATTAGAATTCAAATTTTGGAATAAACTCTATTTTTCAACGGTTACGCTGACAAAAAAAACCTCTCTTTTTCTCGAAACTGCTATAAAGAACAAAAAGACGTTTTGTCGGCTTACGGCAGCAGGTGTGGCACATAAACAGAAGAAGTGACAAGGCAAAAACAATTGAGTCCATTCACCCACACTCCTCTCACTCACAACAAATATCCACCTCTTTTAGGCAAATATACTCTTTTTTCTGATTCATCAGCTGGCAAGAGGAACAGATCCTATCTTTGTGTTTTTCAAATGTATAATTTCAATTATTGAGACAGTTTTCTCGGATGGAGTAATACTTCTACAGTTTACATGATTTAAAACAAAAAGAAAGGCGGCAGACATCATATCAGAAAAAAACATTGTTATAATTCATCACACTAGAAACGAGATGTCTGAAAACTTGCCTGTATCTAGAAATGCTGGAGCTTTAAATGAGATCTACAGCAGATCATACTGAGACAGCACATTGTGCTCATGTTTTTAGAGTATGGTCGCAAGCCTGTACGGTAACACTGGCACTTTGACGTACGGTTGTAGGATATGACCACAACACCATCAGTACAGGAGAATGTACTGACTGCTTAACATAAGACTCCACTGTACGTCATTTAGAAAACTGACATATGACAGTCTTACACCGTCAATATAGTTACGTACTTGTGTTTATGCATAGAGTGCAAATAATAAAACATCCCTTTACATATCAATTTATATAAAGGTATGAGATTGCCAGAAAGGCTTTTATCAATTTATATAAAGATATGAGATTGCCAAAAAGGCTTTTATCAATTTATGTAAAGGTATGAGATTGCCAGAAAGGCTTTTATCAATTTATATAAAGATATGAGATTGCCAGAAAGGCTTTTATCAATTTATTTAAAGGTATGAGATTGCCAGAAAGGCTTTTATCAATTTATATAAAGGTATGAGATTGCCAGTAAGACTTTTATCAATAAAGGTATGAGGCTGCCAGTAAGGCTTTTATCGTTAAAGGTACATGTATGATAGATTCTCTGGCCAGTAAAGTTTTTATCAATAAAGGTATGAGGTTGCCAGGAAGGCTTATATCGTTACTAGTACATAGATTCTCAGGCCGGTAAGGCTTACATTGTTAAATGTATGATAGATTCTGTGGCCAGTAAGGCTTACGTTGTTCAGCATACGATAGATTCTGTGGCCAGTAAGGCTTACGTTGTTCAGCGTACGATAGATTCTGTGGCCAGTAAGGCTTACGTTGTTCAGAGTACGATAGATTCTGTGGCCAGTAAGGCTTACATTGTTCAGCGTATGATAGATTCTGTGGCCAGTAAGGCTTACGTTGAACTGTTCAGCATATGATAGATTCTGTGGCCAGTAAGGCTTATATTGTTCAGCGTACAGGTATGATGGAGTCTGTGGTGTGTCGGGCAAAAACACCTGGAGGCAGAACGGCTGATATCACAAAGTCATGAAAGACGAAAAAAAGAAACTCCACCTTGTCAAGCACATCAAAATAACACGTAATCACATAAGCGTAAACACGTAAAGCAAAAATAGGAAGGAATGGTGTAAGAAAACGGTCGACGCCATGGAATGCAACAAGATGCATAGTCAAAAAATGTGATCACAGCCAAAAATAACAAAATAAATAGGAGAAACGTGAACCATGGTAGGTAAAAGTTATAAGCAGACACTGAGACAGCTGTTTTGTGGTCAGAGCAAGTGGAAAATCCTGCCACTGCCGCTGTGCCAAGAAAAATTTGCAGCTAAATTTGAATGCTGAAAATGTTGGGGAAATACTGCATGCAGTTTGTTTATTAAAATTAGGTAAGCACGAAATCTATCATATTGTATGAAGACACACTTTACTTTCAATTGAAAGTTTGTATTTTGTAGAGATGTCTGCGCAGGAAAGCTTTAGAGCAGAGCAACTGCACACTTCTAATGCTGAACTGTAGAGTCTTCGGCACAGGTTTGTCGAGTATATTGGTAAATAAAACACTCATCTATTTATAAATAGACTCATTCTGCCTGCTTCTATATCAGTATTATCAGCACGCAAGGCAACGTATGGCTAGGCAGAAACATGGGAACAAATACAATTATGTAGATCGTACAACTTTTGAGACGTTTGTTCATTGTAAAATAGTTACTGAGGGCAAATTTCTCATTCATGAGATTTCTTCTCCACTACTTATGATCTTCACTTTCTGCGACTTGGACCTTCCAAATACTCATCAGGGCACAGACGATGGATTTATCAGGGCACAGACGATGGTCTCATTTTTTCCAACAAAGGAAATGAGGACAAACACTTTGTTTTGTGCAAAAAGGAAACATTATTTTCATTAATTCATAATAATAATTCATAACAATTCATAATACTGCTGGATGGAAAATATTTCAATAGATATTTGGCCCCTTCAGCACAATGACAGTGAGTGAAATACAGCCACGATAAAACACACAGCACAAGGAAAAGTTCAAATGGATGTCCAACAATTTCAACAATATTGAAGGAGAAGGTGTTAACGGCAAGAAGAAACACATACAAAAATAAATTCACTGGTCAAAAACTGGAAACGCATTTATCACTCTTTTTGCTCTTCAAAAGGGATTTGTTTTAATAGATATGTTCATTCCCTGGCAAGGAAACACTTGCTTATCCTGCTGAGGGAAAAGGAAGGAAAACTTTGTTAAGGACAACTCAGGCATAGAAAACTTCAGTACAACACTACACAACACTTTTCTGTAACACTTTCTCTCTATTTCTTGTTATAACTCATGTCTTCACCTATAAGTGCAATGCTTCTAAAGAAGACAAGAAAATGAACAAAGAAAGGAGACATCAGGTTTTTTAAAAATAATGTCCACTCTTTTGTTGGAACAAATCACAGGTATTATCATGCAGTAGAGAAAAAAAAAGGATTGGATTCTAGAAGGCCACGAGGACAGGGGACAGAGCAAGTACTGGCGCAAAGATGGTCCATAAGAATTTGGACATAAACAAACAAATCAAATCTACAAGAGCAGACCAAGTAGAGTCTAAAGATATACATCGTACAAACCACAGCATTTTAAGCACCGTGTCAAAGCATATCTACTGGAGTTTTCACAAATGTCAGAGGCTAACAAACTTCCGCACAAAAACACAATGACGATAAGGCAAGTTTTTGACGGAAAACATCAGCTGTTTGATTTTTCATCTATTTATAGCTAACACTTTTTTATTTTACATTTTTATTTCTTCCGACTTCTTATTAATATTGTCTTTATTTAGTCTTGAGATGCGGCTATGAAAGCAGGTCAGAAAGTGATCGTCGACCTATATTTTTTAATGACCTAACCCCCCTCACAAAAAAGCCTTATATATAAATGAATAATTGTCGTGAATTTGATCTGAATAAATTGACACAAGTCTGGCAATACAGGATGTGTGGCGTAGTAGAATGCCTGTTGTGAGGAACGTACGAATTGTGAAAATACGGTGCTGAGACTATAAGCTAATAGTAATCTTCAAACGAAGAGACGTACAAAATAAGGACAACACACACAACATTCACAAAAATGCAGCAGCAAGAAATTTGATTCCTAGTTCATGAACGCTACTTCCACGGGATGTGGAGCTAACCACAAAACTGACATTGTAAGAAAAGACTCCCTCAGGGGGGGAGTGAGAAAATCCTGGCGCTCAGAACGCTGTGCCTAAACACCAGCGGCGGTCCGACTTCTGGCGCCTCATGCGGATGACGCTGCTGTCGATGTTGGAGGCAGCGCTCTTGCTGCGTTTGTCATCGCGCAGCTTGCGGTCCGCTATCCTCAACATCCCAATGTTCCTGCTGGTGGCGGTCAGAGACTGCAGCATCCCGTCGCCGGACTGGGGACGAGGGAGAGGAAAACGGAAGCAAGACCGCGATTACTTTGGCGTGTCGGTTATTTTTACAACTTGTTTTAGTAAGGTTTTACGGCGCTCGCAACTGCATAAGGTTATATGAGCGCAAAGGGGTGGATGTCAACAGAGAGGTCCAAACTGGGAATCAGACTTACTCTGCTCACCTCTCTAGCCTCAACAGCAAAAAGTCTGCTTTGATTATCGAGGCACCCTGGAAATAGCAGTTCACAAGAGAGTGACAAACATAAAAAAGAAGTAGAGGACAAAATGACGATAGTAAGGATGAGGAAAGAAAAAGCAGCAGCTCCCCCTATGTTGTTCCGGCACAGTATGAGCATGACATTGATGAATCAGCCCATCTACAATCCTACTGTGCATAAGAACATGTTAATATCCCCCCTTTGGGAATGGCCTAAAGACACATCAGTCAGTAACACTGCCCTGAGGGGTATTTTCACAACTGTCTTTACGTACATCCAAAAAAAAATGTTAAAGTGAAAAATATCAGATGACAAGCGCCTATTTGACATACGTGAGGCAGCGTGGTGAAATCAGGCGCTCGTCAAAATGATCAAAAGTGAAGAAACTGGCATTTTTGCGCAGGTTTATGAAATTTTATCGAATTTTCTCTCCTGATGATCTCCATGCTAGAGTCCGGGATACGGAGCATTCGGCGAAGAGCAGTGCATACGGCTGTTTAGACTACTCACATTTCAGTGTGGATTTCACTGATTTTACGTTGATAAAAGACACCAAAAATGTGAATTTCCACTTTCCACGGACTCACAAGCTAAGGAAATAACTCATCTTTGGCGGCCATTTTCTCACTAATTTTACCTCAGAAACTAGGCGACCCCCATCTCCTTCATTCTCAAATATCTCGACTTCAGTTCAAGATAAATGGATATTTTTTTTCATCCAAAGCAAAGCAAATGAACCAGCTTTAAGATGATATCAATACTCAATAACTCTACATGTCCAAAAACTGACGAGCGCCTGATTCCACCACGTCATGACACATATACACATGTAGTATGTAGAAGTAAGAGACAGCTAACGACAACTGCCATTTTCTTATTTTACTATAAATGTAAAAAAAATGTGAAAACAACTATGTCTTCTGTAAGTAAATAACTGAGATAACTAACTTTTCGTAAACTGATACAAAAATATGAACGACACTTTAAGGAAACTAACTTTTCTGTTATCAGACATTAATGTGAAAGACATTTTAACCCTACTCGTACGTCGTGTTTTACGATCGTATCCATACGACGTGGGGAACTCTGTGCCACCACTTAACCCTATCCGTACGTCGTGTTTTACTATCGTATCCATACGACGTGAGGAACTCTGTGCCACCACTTTCCAAAGAGGAAATTTACTCGTTAATCCGATCCGTACGCTTTGCATAGCAGTCTGTCAAAATAATTTTTTGAGAAATACAGAAAGTTTCAAAGAGATCTCCGCACTAGAAGTATTCTAAAATGTGAAGAACACAACTCCGAGGGTACAAAATGACCTCACAGCGTACGGAGAGGGTCAAGGCACCTACACCTCGACCTACACTGACAACACAGCGGACAACCTTGAACCCCGCCCGAGCACCGACCTTGATGATTTCCTGGGTCTCCGGGAGCTGGGTGCCGGGGTGTCTCTGGAAGACTCGAACCAGTGGCCGGTCGAGATGTTCCCTCGTGGACAGGTCGGAATACGACACGGGGCCGAGCGTGTAGCCAAATGCCCGCTCCGTGTTGTCGTACCAGCGCTGGGCCCGATGGAGGGCGTGTCGGTTCTCCCCGATCCCCAGGTTCAAATGTTGCTGAGGGGAGAAGAAAAAAACCAGATAACCGTTTCCAATGATGATTCCAACAGAAATCGCAGGAGACAGGATAGAGGATACATCAGCTCTTGCTTTCTGTCTTGGAACGTTTACCAGAAAGTCCTTTAGTACCCTTCTATAGTTCTACAGACTGACTAAAATTGAAATATAAGGCGGTGCTGATTAATCAGCAGTCACTTAATAATGATGATAATAAAAATATAATGATAATGATACAGATAATAAAATAGCAATATTAATATTCATCATAACAATAACAATAATAATAATAATAATGATAATAATAATTACAATAATAATAATAATAATAATAATAATAATAATAATAATAATAATAATAATGGTAGTGAAAACACTTATGCCGCTGCTGCTACTACTACTACTACTACTACTACTACTACTACTACTACTACTACTACTACTTTTACTATTACTACTACTACTACTACTACTTCTACTACTACTACTATTACTACTTTTCAAATCTTATATTAGTGTCATCATTCCCCGACCTTTGACCCACAAACTTCCCCGACCTCTGACCCACAAACTTCCCCGACCTCTGACCCACAAACTTCCCCAACCTCTGACCCACAACCTCCTCCAACCTTTGACCCACAAACTTCCAAAACCTCTGACCCACAAACTTCCACGACCTCTGACCCACAAACTTCCACGACCTTCACCTTCAGCGTGACGGTCTCGGCGACCTTCTGGGTGAGTCCCTCGTTAACCGACTTGTGCGCAGCCTGCTTGAGCTTGTCCACTCGGTCGATGACCGCACGCAGCTCCCGCCGCAGGTACGCCGACTGGTTGCGAGCGTCGGTGGCGTCACCTAGCAGCGTGTCCACCTCCGGCGTGTACGGACCCAGCGGGTCGGCCCTGCCCGCACCCATCCTGGTGGGAACACATGGAGGGGACAGCGTGTTATGGTGGAGTTACTTTTGAGTTACTTTTGAGTTACTTTTGAGGGTTAGTGAAAGTTTTACAGCCCATCCTGGTGGGAACACATGCAGGGACAGCGTGTTATGTTGGAGTTACTTTTGAGCTACTTTGATGATGAAGATGACGTTAACGATGATGCAGATGATAATGATGATGTAAACGATGAAGAGATGATGACGTTAACAATGCAGATGATGATGACGTTAATAATGATGATGATGATGTTAATAATAATGATGTTAACGATGATGCAGACGACAAAGCCGACGACCAGCCACTGACCTGCCCGGGTCCACCATGGAGACCCTCCCCTCCACCTGGCTGCGGTTGGGCTTGAGCGACAGGACGTCCTTCTCCGGCCGCAGCACGGAGGACAGGGCGTGGCACAGCAGGTCAAGGACACGCGAGCGCTCCTGGAGACTGGCGAACGTTCTCTTCCTGATGCTTTCAAGGCACTGGAGGGGGAAATAACGCAATGGGAATAAGAGAAGATAAGACAAAACAAGACAAGACAAAATAAGATAAGATAAGACAAGACAATATAAGAACAGATAAGATAATATAAGATGAGATAAGATTAGATAAGATAAAGATACTTTATTGTCCAGATCCTGGCACATTTGGTTTGGTGTTTCACTACGTACACACATACATACACACACACACGAACATACATACACACATACACACATGCACATACATACATACACACACACGCGAACATACATACACACATACACACATGCACATACATACA